TGTGTGTGTGTGTGTGTGTGTGTGTGTGTGTGTGTGTGTGTGTGTGTTGGGTCTGTGTCTATGTTTGTGGTTGATCTGGGTAGCACTGATTACTCTTCTGCCCTCTGCCAAGTTCTCTCTTTCCTGCAGAATCAGCAGGTTCAAATCTGAATAAAGTTATGCACAGGGCAAAATGTAGAACCCAAAATAAATTTGTACACCTTGTTGGGTCCTGGGCATGTGCCCAGCAGACAGCCTCTTACCTTTATCATAGATTTCCTTCAGGACTCCTCGCTTGATCAGCTCCTCTCGGCTCTGCCTCATCGATATCTTCCTTTCCAGAGCTGCAAGCGAGAGACAGAGAGGCAAGTGTGAATGGTGACAATTGTCTTTCCCCTCACCAGCAAAGGAGCCATATGTATGTTCATAGATACTACAACCCAATTAAAGAGCCTATGATTTACGTTTTGCTAATGGTAAGCTAATGACACACCAGCCAATATTTCAACGCTCTGAAAAGACATTTAACCAGATTATTATTATTTTTTTAACTTTTCAAAATAAAACTCTTTGAGTTACCTCTAAGGCAGGTATATTTATTGAACTTCTAAATCTGACTTGCGGCAGAGGATGCCTCGGCGGGAGAAGGTTCCCATTTTGTCAGCCATGTGGCTAGTGGATAAAGGAACTGGGATTGCACCAGACATATAGCCAACTGCCTGGGGCTCTGGGTGAGATGCATGGTCCCTGAATATGGACGTGGCAGACAGGCTGGCATTTCAGTGATCTGCCTCAGAGCTGATGTTTCACTGAGGGTCTCTTTGCTTTCCTAATGCAATCAGTCAGTCAGTCAGTCAGTCAATCAGTCAGTCAGTCAATCAATCAATCGAGGTATGCATTTGGATATTTAACTCTTGAAAAGCACCCTGTGTTGGCATAGTCCCTAGGACCTCAGGGGACTGAGGGGCGGTGAGTAATTTCCTAGCAACATCTCTGGTTTACCTCTCCATGTAGCTCCACGTGGGAGAAGCCACACGAGGAAAGAACTTTCCCCAAGCCAGGTGCTCCTCCCGCTGAGCCTAATGTGCGGTGGGTGGGGCTGGAGAGAGAGTTTTCCTACAGGAAGAGTGGGTGTAATGAGGATCAATAAAGGGGAAAGAGGAGGGAGGCTGTGGGAGCCTTTGGAGAGAAGGAGGTCCCTTCAGCACCTGCAGTCTAGTCTCTGGTAAACAGAGGGAGGGAGCAGAAGTTATTTCGGTGGCTTGTGTCAGCGTGAGCATTTCCCCACCCTTCAGGAGCAAAGGTACTTATGGGGGAACGTGCTAGCGACAGAAGATCTCCATCGTGCAAGAATGCAGGCCAATTAGTTGGGCGTATTCATGTGCAGACTTCAGAATAAAAGCTAGTGGGGAAGAAGTGAAGCCGTGAGGGGAGCCTATGATCTCTGGCACATCAGTCAAATCTCTTGGCTGCTTTGGGAACATGGATGTCTCAGAAGTCCTCGGGAGGGCCGGGCCACCTTGATTTTGATAAAAAGCTCACTTGGTTGATATCAGGCGTAGGTAAGCTCACGCTCTGATCGTACATTTTGGTGAAGCATTTCTTTTCGCATGTGAAGTGTTCTGGTTTCAGTCACCAGCACCATATAGGAAACTTAATGTTTAGTCTACATAATATATAGTACTCTGAATGAGAAAATACTCCTCCTCTAGCCACCACCAATTTCCAAGTTAAGGTGACACCCTCGAAAGTGCTGGCTTATTTATTCTGCAGCTCTCCTTATTTGTTGGTTCAGAACTCTGTGCTCACAAGGACCATGCACACACCATTGGAGAAGGGTAGAAAGTCGATGCTATTAGCTCAGTTGTTACCATGATTCTGGGAGTGCTTACCACTCCTAGATGAGGTCCCCCAAGCCCTGCCAACTCTGAATTGCTTGGGGACAGACCCCACAAGCAGAAGACCAGAGATTCCAATGTTTCTGTCTTCTCCCCAGGACACCAAACCGTCCTGAGGATAATTACATGGTGTATGAGAACACTAAGGCTTTAACAAGGGAAGCCAAGTTCCTCTTTAGAATCCTGTGTATGGGGCAGAGAGAGGCGGGGGTGGGGGGAAAGGCAGGGAGGGAGGAAACCTCAGGCATTAGTCCTTGCTCTCCACCTTGTTTGAGGCAGGATCTCCCGTTGTTTGCCTCTGTGTGCTACAGGCTAGCGGGCTGGCTCATGAGCTCCCGTGGATTCTCCAGCTCCCACAGCTAGCTCATCTCGCCATGAAATGCTACAATTACAGGTGTGTACTACTGTATCCAGTAGGTTCTGGGGATCCCAAATGAAAGTCCTCACACTTGTGTGGCCAGTATATTACCTACTAAGCCATCTCCACATCCCCGAGGGCACATTTCCTTGGGGCTCAGGAATGTGACCCCCGTACTTTATTCTCAGTTGATCCCTTCTCCTAAGGTGCCATTTCCCTACCATCTCTTTTTGCAAGGCACGCCTCTCCTCTTACCTCAGCTGTCCTTTCAAAAGTGAGAGCTCAGCTTGGGCAAGGTCAAAGCAGTCACATCACCCCCCCCCCCCCGCCCCCAGTGCAATGGAAGGCCATATGCTGTGGAAGGCTCCATCCAGCCTTGTGACCTGGTTTACCACTGAACTATAAAATGGGGCTGTGGGACTAGTGAGGAGAAAAGAGAAGACAGGAAGGCTTCCTTGTTCATCAACCAAGGTCCAGCCTTCTTTACCGTGTGACATTGGCTTTGGGTGGAACAGAGACAGGAAAAAGAGAGGAGAGAAATGATGAAAATCTAAAGACAAGGTGCCAGTCTTTGGGGTGGGTCTAAGATGTCCCGTGCTCCCCCAAAGGGCAGGGAAATGAGGCAGGGGGACAGGCTGTCTACCTGGGATGGCTTCGTTTCTAGGAGGTAGAACTAAGTAGAATAGTGCCAGTAAAGTAAAATAAAATAAAATAAAAAAATACATGTTGTCAGCTAGCTGGCAACAACCCGTAAGCAGGTCTTGTGTCTATATAAAGGGGAAATAAAGTCAATGGGATTTATGTTAAAACAAGGAAACTTATTTCAAAATGTAGGAGCTGTTCTTATTAGCACACAGGGCAGTGTAAGTCTGAGGGACCACACACAGAATGCTTTGGTGTCAACATTCTAAACTTATGAAATTAGACAGTGGGGGCTGGCGGGACGGCTCAGAAATTAAAATCGATTCTAGAGGCGCCAGTTCGGCTCCTGGCACTCTTGACAGGTGACTTAAAAGCACCTGTAACTCCAGCTCCAAGGGATCTGAGGTCTTCTGGCCTCCCCAGGCTCCCATACTTGTGGTAGGTACACACGAAACACACACACACACACGCACATGAGTAAAAAAACATTTTGTTGTTGTTGTTTAAGACAGGGTTTCTCTGGGTAGCTTTGGCTGTCTTGGACTCTAGACCAGGCCGGCCTCATACTCAGAGATCCTCCTTCCTCTGCCCCCCAGAGTGCTGGGATGACAGGCGTGCGTGCAGCAGCTGGTGTAAGAAGACATCTTCAAAAACCCACCAGGTAATGGCAATGGCAGCACAATTCTTTGCACACAGGAAAGTCGTTCAGTTATTCACACTAACAATCGGTGAATTTTAACAACTGGTTATTATTACTTTGTAGTGCTGAGGACTGAAATGTCATCTCATGTTAGGTAAGCGTTCTTCCACTGAGCTGCATCCTCAGTAAGGCATTTTACTTTTTAAATTTTAGACAGGGGCTGTTTAAATTGCTCAGGCTGACCTTGAACTCATGCTTGCGGCCCAAGGATACCCTACCCTTTCATCCCAGGTGCCTAGAAATTTAGGCCTGTACCATTAGGACAGGTTGCAGTGGAAATTTTAGTTTCAGTTTGATCATGTGTATCTGTGTGTTTGCGCATGCCCACAGGGGTACATGTGTGGAAACCAGGGGTCTACACTGATGTCTTCTTCAGTAGCTGTACGTTTACAAAGCTTTAGGTTTATGGTATATCAATGAAGTTATACACACACTTATATATAGTTTTTAAAATCACAAATCAACTCATTCAGTATGTTTTTCTGCATGTCTTTTTTTTTTTTTTTTTTTTCTTTAAAGCTATCAGGCCGTGTCAGAGCCTTCCTATCCATCCACACTGGGCCACTTCATTCGGTTTTGGATGTTGGGTAACATTTCATGGGACATGAAATATGCACCATAGTTTCCTTCATGAGTCTGCAACTGAAGGAAATTTGTTTCCATGATTTTTGGATAAACCTGCTCCAGTGAGCCTCTGGGTTCAGGTCCCAGGGAGGGGCTTTTCTCACTACAAAACTTGACTTACAGTTTCTGGGGAAGCTGTTTGCTATGCGTTCTCAAAACCAATGGCGGTTATGTTTCGTAATTCTTGGGGACTGCTTTTTTTTTTTTTTTGTTAAATAATAACACTAATAAAGCAGCAAGTGTTAGGTTTGGCCCAGGGGCTACTTAGGCCCTGCACACTGGGAGCAGCCTCTGTCTCTCTCTCCCCTCACAGCAGCTTTAAGAGAAAAGCCTGGCACCGTAGGGTGAGTATCTATGAATCTGGGATCCTTACCCCTCCAGAAAAAGCTTCCAAGCATAAAGAGCTATCAGGGTGATAGGTGGAAACATATGGCAGACACATTTGCTGGAAATGTCCTCTCCCTCCCCTCCCTCTGCTGCCCGGCCTGAGGCCTTTTGGGAGAGGGGCCAGTATTGATGGTGGAACAAGGCATTTTGGTCCTGCTAAGAGTATCCGAGTGGAGACCTGCTTGGGTATTTTTCTTCTCTAGGACAATCTGTCTCTGCTGGAGTCCCTGCTCAATTATCCTTAAACTACATTCTGAAGGGAACAGACATTTAAAGGGAGAAGCAACTGAGAAATGATGATGTGCCACAGAGACTCTTCTACTGCCATCCCCCAAAACAGTCAACCTGTGATTAAAATCCGTAACTTTGATCTTTTTAAATCCTCCAGCTCTAGGGAAAGGGAAATTGAAGCAAGAAATCTGCGAGTGACAGAAGCAAAGTTCCGGAACCTTGAGCATGCTTCAGTTTTCTAGTCCAGCTTCACGGATGATGGGGAGGTTAACACGGCCACACTAGCCATGGCCTAGGAAGAGCCCCATCACCACAACCAATCACGCATTGAGATGAAGCACATCTGTAATCCTGAACTCAGGAGGCAGAGGCAGGAGTTTGAGATCACCCTAGGCTACAGAGTGACAAACTGAGAGCTTGGAGTACAGCTCAGTAGCATGCTAGTCAGTGTCTAGAAAGATTAAGCAAGGGCCTGGCTTGATCCCCAGCCTGGCAAATAAGACA